AATTATCAAATTGCCTGCACTCTCCTGTTGGCAATACAACACTGGTTTTATCTAGTGAGGTTGAAATTAAATGCAACTGATAAAAATATATAAATTATATATTTTTGTATTTATTGCAGGTATACTGTTATATGATTTGTTTGATCTCTGTTTTATAGTCATATTTATTTGCTCAAAGTCATCAGACATCCATACATGTGCATGCTGTACATTATCATCCAGTATATTCAGAATAAAAGGAGATAAAAAGCCTTCTCAACAGGAAAAAGAGAGCTTTTAAGGATTGTGAGGAACTTTGAGCTGTCCAAAGGGATTTAAAGAGGAAAATGAAAGAGGTCGACAACAGCTACAGAGAAGACTGAGGCCAAACTGGAACACATCAGTACAAAGGAGGTGTGGAGTGGGATGAAAGTGATATAATAATTTATCTATTTAGATATGCTTTTATTTTTTCTTTCTATTCTGTACACAGAAAGCAATGAAAAAGGGGTCAAATTCCTTGTGTATAAAGACAGTCAAAAAAGTCAATAACTCTGAATCTATTTTTTTAATTGTATTATGTTTAGTCCATGAATTATCTTTAAACAAAAAAGTACAAGACAAAAACATATACATAGAGGTATGATGCAGTCTGACAAGCAGCAGACAAAAAATACTGAAGGATTTACAAATTTTTCAATCCATGTCATGTTTTAGTGTAGTATCTGATTTATATTTTCACTTATTGTATGTGTGGCATCTTTTTAGTCTATTTGTAAATGTAGAATTTTCCATATAAAATAAAGCTGTTTTAAATAAACAGTCTTTTGCAATCAATAGCCTTTGAATAAAATTTATATCTTTTTTTCTGAATGAATAATTGAACCATTCAATGCCTAAAAATATTCTACATCTAACCAGATTAATTAATTCTATTGTCATACCTGTTATTCATAAAATAAATGTCAGATACTTTAAGTTTCGTTTATTCTGAACTGGTCCTGACAGCTGAGCAGCTGACAGAGAGCTGACTGTGGGACTTTGTGCCCTCAGTCATATAAACAGGCAGCAGTTAAACCCCGCCCACTTTACTGAGATTGACGGGTCTGAAATCCAATCACAGCCCTGAACGACAACAAAAAGAAATCTGTACTATTTGATTGGCTGAGCCGCTGAGAGGCGGGCGGCAGCCTGAAATGTTAAAGTCGGGGCAACAGGAACTGCTGCGCGTCAAACGCGGAAAGAAGAAGAAGAAAACAGCCGAAATACAGCGTCAGGAAGACGGATACAAATTACGATAAACACAGCGGCGGGAAAACGACGCAAAGACACAACATGCCGAAGAAGAAAGACATCGTTAAAAGTAAGATTACAGCAGTGAGAGTGGTTTAATGTCCGAGGCTCAGTTTCATTTACTGAGAAGTGGACCTGTTTGGACGTTTGGACGTTGTTAGCTTACAAGCTAACGTTGTGCTAGTCGGTGAAACGAAAGCTAATGTAACCGTAGCACCGTGTAAACCAAATGTAGCTTTGTAACGTTAGGGACTGTTCTTTATCTAACAGAGGAGGGGGAGGCTGGAGTAGGACTCATTTATTGAATATAGCAACATATTAGGGGTGGGCAGTACAACAGAATTTGGTTTCAATCCGATACCAAGTAATACAGGGCCTGAATCGCCGATATACGATACGATACGATATGTATTATTATTAAAGACGGCATTTTTTTTATGTAGGGGAAAGCAATGCTCCATGATTCCAGCTCAATTCAATTCATTCATAAAGCCCTACATCACATATCACAGTTTGCCTCAGAGGGCTTTACAGCATATGACACCCCTCTGTCACAGCAGATAAGGAAAAACTTCCTAAAAACACACTTTAAAAGAGAAAAACCTCTAGAAGAGCACCTGAGGAGGATCCCTATTCCAGGACGGACAGACGTGTAATAGATGTCGTGTGTACAGAACAGATCAACATAATAAATGTACAATAATCCATATGATGAAATAATATATAGAGAGAGATGCACGACAAACAATAACTGCAATTATACTAGTTTTAGTAAAAGTATTATAAGGATAATAATAGTATTTTGGTAGTATAAGTTCAACGTATTTGATCTTTATTTCGAACACACAAACGAGCAGACAAATAAAGTAATATTTACAAATGATAAAAAGCATAATGAAAAACAATTGTCAGTTTATAGTTACTTTGATTTACACATTGATAAGGAGTGTGAGGAAGTTCAAACTAATTAAATCCCACCCCTTCTCCATAAGTCATTGAGTGGAATGAAACAGTTTCCTTATATAGACAAACCTATACTTTAAACTTTTCTAAATATACCATTACCGTTTAACTTTGTACACAAAATATATGAATATAAAGTCTTGTCTTTATACCTTATTTTAAATTGGTGTATGCATAAAATACTGTATTAATATGACAGTATATGTATGTGACAATAATTGACTCTGTATGTAATAACAGTAGAAGTATGACTAATAACAAGGTGCAGGTGTAGCTGCGATACGAGACCGGTGAGACAGTGGAGCACAAAGGCTCCGAAGAAGAAGCGTGAGAGACATGCAGTAATAGGAAATAAATGTTAACAAATGAAGAAGAACCAACTTTTCAGAATCTGAGAGAGAAGGGGCTCGGTGTATTTTAGGAGGTCCCCTGGCAGACTAGGCCTAAGTCAGTCTAACGAGGGGCTGGTACAAGACAAGCCTGAGCCAGCCCCAACTTTAAGAGCCGGCCCTAACGATAAGCTTTATCAAAAAGGAAAATCTAACGTCAGGTCTTAAATGTGGAGACCGTGTCTGCCTCCCGGACCGAAACAGGAAGATGGTTTCGCAGAAGAGGAGCCTGATAGCTGAAGGCTCTGGCTTTAGATTTATAAGGTGAATAATCAGTCAACTTAAGTAACAGCTACAAGGCCAATACATACCTGGATATTCCTCGTCTGAGCCTCTGTGAACAGACTCTGTCAGTGAACTCTGTGTCAGACGTCTGGATGCTGTTTTTATGTGTCGAATTAAATTAGTCAGGTTCAGACATAATTTCCAAATTAAATGATCAATGGACCAAAAGTGATTTTTATGGAATTTCACAGTCTGATTTTCCAGTCCTGGAAAAGTCATGCAGTTTGTTGTATGTAATAAGATTGTTGTGAAATGATCTTCCATGGCTAACCTTTCACAGAATGTAAAATATTGACAAATTAATTTTCTGTAGCTGACAACATAAAATATCCCTAATATGTGTCTGTGTGATGTTTTGTTTACCAACATGTATGTGTCTTTATTTTCTCTCCAAGTTCCGTCTCTCTATTTATTACTGACAGCTTCTATGTTTGAATAGAGTTTGAATGTGATTTGTGTGGAAAAACACCAGGCAACTGTGGCAGGATCACTTTTATTTGTTTATTATAGGCCCTTGAAAAGTCAGGGAAAAGTTTTTAAATGTTGTCCTTGCATTCGTTGCACAGTTTGTCTGAGGACCGTCGGAAATTTGAATATCCAACATTAATTTCTGTTTTTACAGTTTCTGGCGATAATAAATGGTGTAATTTGGCAATTTTTAAAGAAAGCAGGCGTTCTTATTGAATGCTGATTGTTTTTGCATGTTTTTTTTCTTCGATTCTTAAAAAATCGGTGGAAAAAGAAATATAAAATACAACCATTTAAATTTGTGTACCCCTCTTTTAAACAAAACAAAAACACAAGTCCCTCCACGGTGCTTAGAACATTATTTGACATGCCCCCCCCCCTCATAAATAAAAAGGCATAAATAAAGTCATATGTTTCATATATCCACATCTTTTATGTATTTAAACATGACCCTTTTCTGCCTTTCAGGTGGCGCTCCAATCCCTAGAATTCGAGAAAACTCAAGACTAATGCGCACACATGTAAGTATTAAAGAACCTGGAATATTGTGTCATAGAGCTGCAATGATTAGATGATTAATTGATAAATGGATCAACAGAAAACTAACTGACAACTATTTTGATCTCAGAATAATTGTTTGTCTTTTTTAAGAGAAATTCTTTCATAAATATAAGAATTGTTTTATTAATTTCTAGCACTTTATTGGTAAACCGATTGAGAAAATAATTGGCAGATTAATTAATAGTTCTAGTTGCAGCTCTGTTCTGCTGTTACTGTTGTGGCATAACATGTCTTCACAATTTTAAGTGTGTTATTGGGAACATGTCATGACTTCTACCGTTGCTAACACAAGCATTTCAGTCACTTAAATATGAGCTCCCATAGTCATTAGGCAGGCAGTTACAGTGGCTTATCTTCACAACAGTCAGATATAACTGCACTGTGATGCAGCGTAGTAGATTATAGGTATATTTGTTAATAAATAATCAACACTTATGACTAATTGTGACAGATCAATGTTGTGGAAATTCTCTGCTGCTGGTGAATAATGAAACACAGACTTCTGCCGGCCGACAAGGTTTTTTATTTTCTTTGCAAAGAAAAGGTCAGTCATCACATGAGCGGTCAGAATGAAGAAAAGCATAGGAAAGCCTAAACATTTATACCTGAGGAACGCCTCTTACGGTGTGTTTCACACCCTTCTGTCTGCGGCAGGGAGCAGCGCCCCTACCCATTGTTTTCGAACTCTTTCGTCTGCCGCAGCTATTGGCTCCGACCCCCTAGGATGTGTTTCACACCTGGCGTATCCTGCAGGATTTTGTATCTAGGTGTGAGGTTAAGATGTCTAGACATTCTGAAGTATTTGAAAACACAAAAAATACACAAAGAAAATGAAATTACAATTACATCAATTTTGTGGTGGTGGCTGCCTGAGCAGTGCATTGCTGCATTGCCTGGGCATGCCCTTACAGCGGTGAGGATGAGAGAAAAAGGGGGCGGGGGACAATTACAGTAAAGAAGCAATGGTAAAATAAAAATAAACTAGACTTACCTACACGCCGTATTATTTACAGCACTATGTAGGTAACACTTAGCACAGTAGATGAGCAGTATTGTGGCTACAGCAGGGGCTCTTTGATGGATGCATTTTAAGTTACTGATCTTTTCTCCTCCACAGGAAAGTATGGTAGATTTCATAAATGGACGTCATCCTGGGAGCTCCATCCTGGACGTCTTCGCCTCTGGTTTATTAGGTAAGGCGCTTCCTGAGCTGGCTGTTGCAGATTATTTTAAGTGACTCAGCGTTTCTAATAAATCTGAATTCAACCGCTTCTGTCGCATAATTTTTCTGTCTGTTATCAAAGAGTCTCTGGGTGTGTTTTGCGGCCAAAAAGTGTTTGTGTTCAGCTGCAAAGTTGCACACGGACATTAGAGAATTGAAGTTAGAATTGAAGTTATAGGTAATTGAAGAATAGAATCTTAAGCAGTAATTTATGTTGGTAAATATGGGATGATAGTGCCGCACATGTCAGCATCTTCACAACCAAAAAAACAAGGAAGTGATTTGGTGACCTGTGGGAAACCACTAAAATTGCAGGGATTGCAACATCCTGGAGGAGCTGTACTGTCAACTGAAATCTACTTAACTGTCATTCCTTTATGTCGGAGACATGTTTCAGCACCATCCTCTTTTTTGAAATCTCTCAGGAAGATGAAACAGACTGTGTACCCTCATCTGTTCCTCCAATATTATGATTAAAATTAATGTTGGGGTTCAGATGATTACATGAGAGCACTAGAAAGAAATAATGACGTCTTTTGTATTTGTCTTTAAGGTTTAGATTTTTTAAGGAACTTTGAGGATGACATCATATATTCAGACGAAGATGACGATGAAGATGATGATCGCTTTTATCCTTACAATGCTGCTCACAAGGTGTTAGAGCCTCATCCTCGAATAAAACAGCTCACTGACGAGGTATCACATATCTGTCACTTCTTTGGAAATGAAACTGAAACGTCCCGTTATTATTTACTCCTTTGTAACATGATGTAACTTTAACTTCATGTGCGTTCAGACTGTGTTTGTTGTTTCTTTTGTGAATTTCTTGAATACTGGGTCAACTTATAGGTTGGATTCCTTTTTTTTAGGAGGCTGATAAACATGCAAAGGAATTGATAGAAGAAGAAGAAAGGCGAAAGGAGAAAACTGAGAAGAACAAGCGTAAGAAATTGGTCAGTGTCGACATCATTATTTGCATCATTCTGAATGTTGATGTTTTTTCTCTGACAGTAACTGACTACACATTCCTTCTCTCTGTTGCAGCGTAAAAAAGAAAAGAAGCGGTTAGAAAAGGAGAATGCAGTTAAAGACATTTTACCTGTGAGTCTTGTTTTACTCATATTGCTGTGAATTACAACAAATACACCTCAGTGCCAGAGTGTGTCTCAAATCACGTACTTCCATTAGTACACTTCAGTGTAGTACACTATGGTCACTGCACACTTCTTGCTTGCGCTAATTTCAGCAGGGTAGTGTTGTCTTAAATCGCGCATTGCCATTTTGCATTGTCAGAAGTGACAATGGCTTTCTTTTCTTTTTAACCATCTCTTCTTTGTCTTCTTTTTAAATGGTTAATTGCAAACAGGCGGAGGAGCATTATCGCCGACATATGACCACTATCTCTGCCCACACATAAACCAAATCTGTGCCACTGGTCTAAAGTCAGACTTTCACATATTTAAACAGATGTTAACACCCGTTGTGACAGATGTTCAAGAGGTGAAGCTTCTCTTATTCACGTGTGTTGGACATGTCTGATCCTTGAAATATACTGGGAGGACGTTTTCCAAACTTTATCCTAAATCCTCAACTTTGACCTGCAACCCAACCCTCTGATCGTCCTCTTTGGCATCACTGGAGAGGATGATGCACACCTGACTCCGATCCAGCGCTGTACACTGTCTTTTGCCTCTCCGCTGGCCAAACAGGAAGTTCTAACCAGATGGAGGGATGCTGCCCCGCCCACCCATGCCCAGTGGTTGGGGGACATTATGTCCTGCCTTAATCTTGAAAAGATTTGCTACTCACAACTTGCTACTGTAACTCGGATAAAAAAATTCTAAAATTTCTTTCTGAAATACTTCCAGAGCTGTCAGTTAAACTGAAGGTCTTGTGTTTGTTTCTTGTTCCTGGTACTTACTGTCAGAAGGAACTCTGATAAAGCATTATTTTGAACCTGCCTTTTACAGAAGCATCTCTCCATCTCTCTTTTTATATCGAGCCTGACTCATTTTTAGGGACTATAAAGGAGATGGAGGACCATCCTGTTAATGTTATTCCGGCTGTTATTAGGGGTTTGTGGAATGAGAAGGATAGTGATTGGGTTCATGCTTTGTTCCTGTCATGCTTTAAGTCTGATACCTGTTGTAATCATGTATCGTGTAGTCCTGTTAAAACTGAATGAAAATATTCTTGATTTAAAAAGACAAATTTACGCCACAACATCAATGCTGGTTTAAATGTGCCGCCGTGTCTAGGAGCAAGTTCGCTACCTAGCGAATGCTAATGTTAGTTTGCGAGCTAAGGTTATGTAATGGTAGCCTCCGCTAAGTCACAAAGATGGTCCATCATTCCACACTCAACTTTTTGAGTGCGCTAATAGTACACTGTATTTTCCCGCGGTGTGAACGCACTTAGTGACACTAAAATTATGAAGTGTTGAGTACAGAAGTATGTGATCTGAGACACACTGTTAGAGTCTGGAAAATAAAATCCAGTTCAGAGCCACACTGACCCTTTTATTGTTGTTTCAGGAGGAAGAACAAGGGAAGTCAGACTCCTCAGAAAATCAGGAAGAAAACTCTGTTATTGAAAGTAATGCAGAAGAAAAGAAAAATCCTGAATCAGGCGAAACACAAAATGGAACTGAGGCGTCTGGATGTGACGAGAACAGCTGTAATAATAAAAAAGAAAGTGTTGCAGAAATTGAGAAAGAAGAAGACCAAAAGGTTTGTGGAGATTTTTACATTTGTTTGTAGCATTGTGGAGCAAAACAACTGTTTGTTTTCTATGAGTGTACTTGTGAAATTATTTTGACACTAGTGTAGATGAGCAGTTAGTTGATGGTCAAGAACCAGACAGCTCAGAGCATCAGATGAATTTAGACGTCTTTTTTACGTCTATTGGAGCTATTGAGTCTGTTGTCAGTGTCTGTCTTTCTTAAAACCACCGCCTTGCGTTTCATTATCTTCAGCAGGATTTGGATTTAAATAATTCACATTCTTCTAAAACCAATTCGGTGCCTAAGGAGACGTGTAACCAGAGGCCTGCCAGAGAGAGGAAAAAGGAAAAAACTAAATCAGTAGAAGTTCAGCAGTCCAAGGAGGAAAAGCCAAAAGTTGTGGAGAAACCTGAAGTTCAAATGAAGAAGGAAGAGATTCATGAACCCAATAACGAGGTGGGAACACTGACAACATGTATTTCTACTTTTTTAAGGCATCGTCTTCTCCAAATAAGAGGTTGAAATTCAGAATCTGGACGACTGCGGGCGGTAATTCTAGTTTAAATACTTTTTAAAGGCGCATGTAGGTGCCACACGATCAAGAGTCAAATGACACACTGACTGCATCATTCGATTACTTTTATGTAGACATGCACAAACCAAACCACCGTTACCAAGCCAGCCAGATCATCCCTGTTGTCTTGATGAATTAATTGATGTTAATCACTCAAGACATTATTTTGCCGTGTAAGCTAGCTTGCAATTCATCCGCGTTAGCAAGCAAGCTAACACCAGCTAACACTATCCAGCTAAAACCACAATATATTTAATGTCAGTTCTTCCTCTAATGTTAGCACAGAGGGCCTTTGGCATTATGAGGCACTGAGTTTGATGGACTTACTGTTTATCAGACTACAAATGAGACAAACGTTAGCTAGCTAGCGCAGTCCCCTGCCTCACTTCCCACTGCTAGGACACTACTTCCTCAGGAAGAGAGCGAATGGCAGCTCAGACATTAGCCACTGTAGCAACTGCAGCAGCGTTGGGTCTAACACATGTAATGGCAGCAACAGAAAGTTTGCTGATCTGGTGGGGAGTCTGGGTGGTCAACAGGGCAGTCAGACTTGGGATCAGACAGTTGGCTGAATACAAGCTTAAGCAACGGTCTGTCTCTGCCGAGCTGCTGCTACAGAATGTAAATAACAAACAGCATGGGTGGACGTGTTGTGTGTTGAATCCATTTTTTTAGCTAACGTTAGCTACGTTCCACATGTTAATGCTGTAGCAGGGCTGAAGAGAGGCAAGAAACGCATTACGTCAAATCCTTTGAAATTTCCTGGAAGAGTCTCTTTTACATAGAAATCAGTCCACAGGCACCCAGGAAGTTGTGAAAAATCTTTCAAGCTACGCTTAGAAACTGTTCATCTAAAAATAAAATCCAAAAAACTTAACACACAGTACCTCATGTTATTTTCTGATGATTTATTAGTGACATAACATGAAATAGATGATACAACAATTTTCAAGTTATCATCAGCCTAGAAACACACAAAAACCTCTTTTTCCTAATGACAGTCTGACTCTTAAGTTTTATTTGTGAATGCATCTTATTGTTTAATGCTGTTAAACATTAACTGGTCGGGCCTTGGTGTTTGACAGAAAGCTACATGCAGATTTCGTGTTTCCTGTAACACTGTGTAGCTTCACAGACTAATGTACTAACTCTAACTTTAACAGCAGACAGTGGATCCCACTGTAGAGGAGTTTGCAAAAAGAAGCAGAGAGCTCGCTGGTAAGTTAAATTTTCCATTAACGTCATTGAGACAGAAACAAACATGTGAAAGCACTGAAGCCGTCACAACTGTCCTCGCTCTGCCTTCCAGGTATGGGAAATCGTTTGGCTGCCTCGGGACAGTACGAGATGGCAGTGAAATGCTTTACTGATGCCATTAAATACAACCCAAAGGAATTTAAGTAAGGACATAGACTTAAACTGACTCCATCAAAGCACACAGAGGCGGTGGCTGTTAATGACTCATGTTTACTCTGTGTTTCAGGTTATTTGGAAATCGATCGCTCTGTTATGAAAGAATGCAGCAGTATGAAAACGCTCTCAGGGATGCTGACGTAGCGCTCTCCATGGAGCCAGACTGGATAAAGGGTTTATTTAGGAAAGGGAAAGCTCTGTGTGGGCTCAAGGTGAGTCACCGCTCCTGTATGAATGACTGACAAGTCTGATAAGTCGTCATGTTGGAACTGGTCAGACATTTACAGAAGAACACTTAATGTTGTGTTAAAACCTGCAGCACAGATAAAACTGACCTTTCAATACAAGATACAGGTGTGAGTTATGAATAAATACTTTTGTTTGTTAGTGACAAATAAACAATCTGTAATGTTAACTCCATCTCCATCTCTTAACATCTCCACTGTTTATTTAAAAGTAAACGTGATTTATTACCGGATATAAAGATTTTAAACTTGCTTATTAATGACCGACATGTTTCCTGTTTTTCTCCAGAGATACTACGAGGCCTCGCTGATCTACAGGGAGGTGTTGAAGCTGGAGAAGATGAGCGCTGAAGCCATGCAGGAGCTCAAACGAGCGCAGACGTTACACCTCATGGTGAGAGACGCTAACTGCAGTTTACAGAGCATAAATGGCACCAACAGAAGGAAAGACTTATGTTGTGTTTACACCAAGTTTGCGAGTTTGAATGCTAGAATGTTTTTTGCTGTCTTGCTTCATACCCTCATGAAATTGCCAAATTGATAAATGAACTTCCACCTGTACGTCCTCGGCATCATACGCCCCCGTAGGATCTCAGTGCTGATTGGCTTTCATGGCAAGTGGTTGCTGAAGTTCAGATTTTTCAACTCATGAATAAGCGTTAGGGGTCGTACACGTGCTGCTTAGAAAACTTGAGGTCAGGTGCCTTTTCTGTGCCAGCTTCCAGGAGCACTGTGGCAGGTTGCGTCTGAGGTTGCTAAGCAACCTCAACAAGCATTGTATCATAACCTGTTTAGCTGAATCCTGAGTGCAGAGCTGATCTTCTTCCTGTTTGTCTGTGGGACAGATGTGACGCTCTGACAGCTCTGCACTAACATGATCAACTTCTCCATATTCATCACAGACTGATATTTACAGAAGAAGGAAAGATATCTGTCAGCTGTGATTGGTTGGTCCTCGTCATGTGCGCACTGCTGCGTTCCAAAAGTTGAAGTCTGTTTATCTCAAGGCGCAGCCGTTGCACCCTGAAAAATAGGTGCTCTGGAATGCATGCGTGCTGCAATGGCGTCGCTCTGGTGTTTGAGTCGGCCTGCCGTGCGTCTACATTTGAAAACTATGAATTTGAGGGCACAAAAAAACGGGGCATGCGTACAGCCCCCTACTTGCTCCATTTGTGCTGTTTAATTTGAGTATTTCATGTCTGAATTGGCGCCTAATCGCGTCTCTACATTGACTGAACAGGTGATTCACTCATGCCAATTGTTTTATTTGCACCCGGTGTGAACACGACATCACAAGGACCTCTACTGGCTCTTCTCAGCCAACCTCTGAAAATTCCAAAGCTTCTATTAAAACTGTTCGTACCTGTTTTGGGTTTATACTTCACTTCCAGGTTGTGACTCTAACACACAGTTTATATTTGACACACAAGTTTCCTTTGTTGTTGTTTTTTTTTTTTATTTTTTTTTTTTTATTTCCTTCCTGTAGATCAACAGGCACTCTGTTCTGGTTTTACCAGTCTGAGCTTAAACTGATTTGACGTTCCTGCGAGAGGCTGAACTGACGTTTGTCATCATGATGCGTTCTGGCAAAATAAACACTGGCCATCATCAGCAACTGCTGATGGCGTCACAGCGCTAAATCCAGTCCTGCTGACTGTATCACTGCTTCACTTTGCCGCTGTACTGTCATTCATTGGCTGTGTTTCTTTCTCAGTTGGAAGGGATCAGATGCTCTTTTCCACTAGTTTTGGTTTAAGTTTCTAATTCTTTGTATTTCTATTTTAGGAAATGGGCTTCTCGTGGGCGCAGAGCTCTGAGGCGCTTAAAACACACGTCACTTTAGAAGAAGCTGTTGAAGCTCTGTTTGGTGGTGACAGTAATCTGGGTGCTGGAGGTAAACATCACTAAATGTTTAAAAACATTCTGTCATCTTCAGCTATGTTTTGGTGTTTGAATTGTGTCTTACTGTTTGTTGTCTTTGGTCAGATGCCAGTGCCAGTAGGGACAACGTAGAACAACCGGTGGTGCAGGAAGAAGACGACGATGAGGGAGAGTGGATCGTCTTACAAGCAAGTCGTCCTCGAACGCAGCAGGTCAAAGAGTCTGATGCTTGTGGACAGAGCAGGTCGAAATCTCAGTCGCCGACGCCTCATTCAAAGAGTTCTGTCAAACCGTAAGACTGCATTTCATCAATGTGTTTATATGGACATTTAATTTAAAATTTGTTACCAATTACAGAATTTATAAAACAGATTTATAATGCCAAGCCCCCAGGTTGAGACCCACTGCACCAACGGTCATTTTATATCTGGAATATTAGAAGTTGCTGTGATTAATATTCTGCTGTTAGTTTTTCTTGCATGCTTGTGATCAGAACAACTGAAACATAGTTCTGAAAGTGAGATCTGCAAACTGTGTCTCACTTTGGATCCTGGAAAAGCTGAACTGTGAACAGATGGACAACAACTGTCAGTTCATCTGTTTCCTGTGTGTCTTTTACAGTTTTCTAACAGTAACAATCAGTCTTTACAAACTGAATTTAAAGACTGTTCATGTGGAGTTTTCACAGATTTAGTGTTTACAGGATAATTTTCTGAGTCGTTCCTTCAGTGCATCATGATTTAAAACAGCTGTTTATCTCTTCTGTTTGGTGTAAAGGGAGCTTTTCCCCGTTTGGGTCGGATCTTTGGCTCCTGCTGTCACCTACTCAACGCTCCATGAGCTCTTCAGCAGGTAAAACACCACAGTCTGTCTCCTTCAAACCTCTGAGCTGGTTTTTGTTTTAGGATGTCGTTCAGCTTTTTGTCAGAATCAGATGTTGTCTGAGTTTTACAGGAGATTACAAAGAATGAAACTGGTAGTTTTAAGTACACCGAATAAAATTATAAAGCAGTTATGTTAAAATAAGATTCACATTTTTAGGTATTTACAGGGCAACTCCAGTATTTTTTTTTTTAATATATGTTTATTATTTTTCAAAGGACAGAGAGACAGAAGAAAAAGAAGAGCATAGAAAAGAAAGATAACATACAGAACATAGCACATCTAAAATTATGATATCAGTCCATGGTCATAGTTAGACAATAAGGCAAAAAACTAAAGAAAAACATTTATGAACAAATAGAAGAATAAAGTGAAGTATATGCAAACTCATATACATCTGCGCACAGTGAAGCATTAAGTGTGCCCCTTAAGGAATCTCAGTACAGGATCCCATGTCTTGTAGAATACCTCTCCTCTATCTTCGTTATAAAGCCTCAGTCTCTCGAGATGTAGTGTGTTGGACATTTCTCCCAGCCACAAGTCATATGTCGGTACACAGTCCATTTTCCACAAACATAAAATCAGTTTTTTAACAATCACCATCCCGAATTGAATAGCCTTCTTCTCATATTTGTTGGTAAAAGGTAGAACACTTGTAGCTCCCAGAACCGCTACAAGCGGGCTGGGTGCCAGGCTTTTTCCAAAAGCCTCAGAAAAACAGTGAAAAATGCTTTTCCAGTAAGAGTGAAGTTTACTGCATGACCAGAAGGAATGTGAAAGATTACCTAACATGGATTTACATCGATTACACATGGGTGAAACAGTAGGGTAAAATCTGTGTAGCTTCTCCTGTGAATAGTGGAGTCTGTGTAGTATTTTAAATTGTATAAGGTTGTTTCTCACGTTGACTGAACATTTATGAACATTACGAAGACATTCCCCCCCAATTCTCGTCATTCAACTCAATATTCAACTCATCTGCCTGTGCCTTTTTATAAACCTCTGTACTCGGCAGAGCTCTCTCATGAAGGATTCGATAAAAAAGGGAAACCGCCCCATGTGTGGCCGGGTTACATTGGTTCATTGCCTCGAGAATATCATGTTTGCTCAGAACTTCAAATTTTGGTACATTTTTCTTAACAAAATTTCAACTCCAGTATTTTTTAACCTGGACCTTACTGTCTCATGATTTAGTGTCTGATGGAGATGTCAGTTTTTGAAGATGGTCCAGTTCTGAGAGACAGCGCTGCAGCCATAGACTTTAAAAATAATAGACATAGCTACCGTGATATCACCCATTGGTTGGTGGAGTCCAGTTTTGAAACCTCAACTTTGGTATTTACATTACACAGGCTGCAGTCTGTTAACCCTTTAAAACCAGAAATGACATCACTTGTCTTGTGCTGCTTTCAGACGTCTTTCCCGAGTTTATGCTGCCATTTTTATTCAAAACGATATAATAATTATTATTAATAATATTTTAAAATCATTATCATTTTTAAGCGCTCCTTTCAAGTCATTTCCTTGTTTTAAACTAATTTTCCTCTTTTTACTAATTTTCATGCAGATTTTTAGAGTAGTTTCTTCTTTCGTTGCTTGTTCCCATGTTTTTAAAAGAAAGCAGGTCAATGTGCTCAGGTTTCAAAAGGTTAATTAGCTCTGTTTTAAAGTAATACTCCACCTCTTAAAGAGGACTGTCGTCTTCTGGGACGCAAAATAAGGCCAGATTGCATTAAGTATTTTGACTAGAAAAATTAGGTAGGCATACTGAAATACTGATCCTGTGTTCTTTGAATATGACCAACCAGAGGTCTCAGATGTGTCGAGCTTGTTTTCTGTTTATTGCTGCTGAGTTGATGTGTCGAGAGTGTTCGTCCTCACTGACTCCAAGCTGTGAAGCAAACATCCGCAGAGGGATGTTAAAGATTTCATGTGTGTGTTCCTCTCTGTGTCAGAGCTGGGACGGTCTACAGCATCAAGATGCTGCTGGAACACCAGTGTGCCTTCGTCAACTACACCAGGAAGGAGGACAGTGACCGAGCCATCCAGTGTATCAACGTATGTGTCTGCTCACTCTGAATTATAGTCACATGATATCTGATGTGTCAGTGCCGCTGACAGCTGCTGAGGCAGTGGAATAATGTCATGATGCATCTGCAGGGAGTTTAAAGTCCGTCCACTATCAGCAGCAAAGTGTTTATCACAGCTGACACTGACCCAGATCTGCAGCTGGAGACACAAAATGAACTTAAAGAATTTGAAGTTGGAGACTTGGTTATTTTTATTATGTTATGTTATTATGTTATTAAAACAGCGACTGGCACCTGCAGCTCTTTCACTGTAAACTTCTTCAAGCTTTAAAGTCCGTCTGCGGTCTGTAAAGCTTCGTCTGGTTTCTTTTTCTCTGTGTGGCTGCGCGGTGCAGCTCTGCTGGGCCTAGCATGTTAAATGTGTGTTTCCTCTCCAGGGGATGGTGGTGGAGGGCGCGCCACTCTCTGTCAGATATCCAAACAGATTCCACAATGGACTCGGTGCATCCAGATCGGCCGCCACTGACCCCTTTTCACGCTCCGGGTAAGAACGTGCTGCTTTGACAAAATCTCTGTTTCACTTCACCAGATTAGATTTTACTGATCTTTGAGTGTCATGAGAAATATAATCGTTTTACAACGTTAAAACACAGATGAAGTTTGTGGGGTTTCTTTGTACCATTTGTGTGTAGGATTCATTTAGGGCTGCACCGACTAAGAATTTGGTTATTTGACTTATTGACAAAGCAAATTAGATGTCTACCTCTCGTTCCTTTTTTGGTCACAACTGTCGCTGGATCCAAAGAGCTTCTGTTTGTGATCCGTATGCGTGAAGTAGCTCCTCAGCCACTTATTTTTCTGTTGCAGGCCGTACAAGAAGGAGTGCTTTTTCTGGAGGACGACGGGCTGCACGAGGTCGGACTGCACCTACAGACACGTCCCAGAGCACAAGAACATCGACAAGGACAAATTCACCAGTAGGCTGGGAAACTTTCACATGTAGGAGAATAAAAAGACGAGCACGTGTTGTTTCCTTTGACAGGCGACACAGTGGTGGAGCCAAACTGTTGATAGTCGCCTCTGTTCAGTCTGGTTTGGGTTCTGGTGTTTTTTGGAGATGTCTGCACCATGACGGCCCACCACTGTTGCACCAACACAAAGGAAACAACCTCCATTAAACTACTGCATCCTAGTAATAATTCATGAGCATCATCAGGCTGTGAGCATTCCTCTGTTATTGGATTATGTCAGGGATTATCTGTGATGATTAATCTGTTTAAAGATTGTGTTCACTTGATTTTTACTTTGGAGCTTTGCTTTGTTTTAAAATGGGTTGAGCAGATTGTTCTGTTGGTTGTTCAGTCACCACTAGGTGGCACCGTTATCTTTATCCCTCAGCTTTGGGGCTACAAACGATTCTGCTTTCATTTTAAAGGCTGTGACTGATGAGTAGTTTTGCTATCGGCACATTTAATGTGCCATGTTTGATTCTGAAGCTGTGCTCTGTAATCTGATTACTGGGGTGCTGGGTGTGTTTCATGTGTGGGCCGGTTGAGTTCAGTGTGTATAAATGTTGTAATGATGTGTGTGATGGAGAATCTGTTTCAGTGTCGTGATGTTTGGACACAAACTGTCACACAATAAGTGCCTTTTAGTAGCACTGTGGCTGCAGCTGATCAGGGCTCAGCCCAGAGGGGATTAAAGCTCAACTCCGAATGTGTGAGGGACAGTTTGGATCCTCTGAAGTGAAGCTGTGTGAGGTAGTGATCCAGAGTCAGTGTGTTACCTACAGTAGATGTCAGTTGGCACACCTCTGATTTAGAGAAGCAGGCTGGATCACTGACTCTGCAGCTAAACAATGTACTGCTGTGGACGGAGGGCGCATGAAACGAATTTTAGCCACCTGACTGTGGATCAGTGCCACACACCCCCACTTCAAATGATCCAAACGGTCCCTTTTAAAGATGTGCCGTACATTCATATATAAAGTAAAGACCAAAGACGTGGTGTAGGTGGAGCAGTAGAGATGAGCCTGGTTATGAGTCGCATCAAAGAATAATAAACTCACCCTCATGATCACTACTGACTATCGAGGCCTCAGCATGTACCTCAGTGTAATTTCAACTGTCACTCTGAGCAGACATGACATGCTGCTCTCCCACTCTTTGCTGTTTGATATATGACTGTGCAGCAACAATCCTCCTCACTCCCCCTCCAGAGAAGTTTGGAGTTGGAGTAATTGAGTGCGTTTCTTTGAGTGCAGGGACACATAATCTAATTTTTATTCTAATTCTGTGGTTTTCTTCATGAGTTTTTGGTTAAAATCTGAGCCAGAAATCTCCACTTCACCATCCACCAAACTGTCCAGTGTTACTCTCATCTTTACTCTGAAGTTTTTAACAATTTACAAAGAGACTTTTTAGGATTTATTAAGTGATAAAAAGAGATACTTAAAATGTGCTCTGTAAAAACTTTGATTCTAATATAAAGACAACGTTAAACAAGAATTTGAAACGTGGTTTTATCCAACGTCCAGATCTTTGTTCTGGTTTTAAATGCAACAAGTGCACATTTAAACATGAGATTGTGGAAAACTTTGGGACCGCCCTGTTATTAAAGATTACTGCAGAGAGACACACAAAGCCCTTCAAGATATTTTCAAATGTGCTGTACCGAGAGAGAATATGTTTAGATTTTTGGAATGTTGTCAGGAGACCAATGGATAACGAATATACTGCTGCTGGCTCGAAGAAAAAGACTCACCAGGAAATGTCTGTCACAGGAGAGCCCAGCCCTAAAGATATGGACGCACATTTACAGAACGGAGAAGATAACGGTATTTATTAACTGTTAAAGACAACAACTTGTTGCACACCGAGCATAACTGAGATCATTTATTCCACTCGCCTTGGGAACATCCAGCTGTTGAAACACTGGTTAGAAGTGATATTTCTGATGTCAGTGTTTCTCGGTGTTAATGTCCCAGTAAGCTGCTCACTGGGCCTGAAACTGGACAAAATGTTGGAGTCACTGTTGAGCGCCTGTGGACGCTGGGTTGATTCTCTACTAAGAGACTAAATTAAACAGCCTGCTTCACTGTCGTCCAGTCAGTCTGTGGTTTCAATCGGGGAAAATTGCAATACTGATAATTCAAGGATTTTCGTGATCTCTTGGGACGACCAAATATTGAAAGTATACCATTAAATACTCAGTGGATCGAGGTCAAGTCAGGGCTCAGATTGGCTGGACTACAGGAGACTCCTGGCTGAAGGAATTCCTGGACTTGTTAAACATGTTACATGCCCCTTTAAAAAAAAAAAAACACAAACCATATTGTCACATCACAGACAGACTCCTCCTGACTCAGTGACGCCACCATGTGTTAAGAACTGAGCATCGACTCGAGTTCATTTTGTCATGTTCCTGCTCTGCTGCTGTAACTTGTGTTTTAAACAATTTAAAGTAATAACTCTTATGTATTTATTATTCAGCAGATCTTGGGACTGTAGCAGATTTATTTATTGGCAGTGCTGAGGAGGAACTACTGACATGTAACAGAGTTAATTATATTACAAAATAAATGTAATCAGTTACAGTTACTGAGAAAAGAATATGTAATTAAATTACAGTTAAATTACAATTTCATTTGAATTAAAAACTTATATGTAGAAAAAACAAATTCTGTTGCTCTGCATCTTTTTGTCATATTTTGGACATCGCAAACAAATATCTCATTTCCAGCTTCTGTTTCTAGAGACAATATTACATTTGGTGTGAGCTTGAAGAACAAAAATAACATCTGTTGTAATTTAATTACATTTCTGGAATCCTTTTTTCTTAAATAGAATTAAACTGTGCCTAAAACCTTTAAAACTGATAAAAGGAATAAAAGCACAAAAGTTAGATGATATTTTTATACATTTTATCACTATTATTGCATTACCTGTCCCTGTTTATTTTTTAATATTACATTTCCATTCAACCCTTACACTAAAAAACACTTTTACACACACACACACACACACACACCCCTTTTGTCATCAGTCTTTAATCTTGTAAGTTGTTTATATTTGTTATTTATACTATTGTTCACTTCCCTGTACTTACTGAATTTGAATGTTGCCATGTAGGGCTGCCACTAACCATTATTTTCATTGTCGACTAATCTGTCGATTATTTCTTCGATTAGTCGACTAATCATTTCATCGAAAAATGTGTTAAAATGTTGAAAAACGTCAGTCTGTCACACCCAAACCCCAAAATTATGTCATCTAATGTCTTGTTTCATACTCACGCCGAAGGGTTTTAGTTCACTGTCACGGGAGTGTGTGTGTGTAAAGCTGCCAATATCTGAACTTAAGAAGCTGCAGTAAGAGTATTTTGGGGTACTTTTATAGTACTTTTCTATGAAAAATGTCACTGATTATTTTAATAGTCGATTAGTCATCGATTAGTCGACTAATCGTGGGAGCCCTATTGCCATGGTTCTTCTGCACATTTTCAAAAAAACAAAAAAGCATTTAAAACAAACAAACAAAAACACCACCACTAATGACAAAACAACAACGTGGGCCAGGCCTGTGAAACAAATGTGAGTGCGACACTTTTGCACTGTTTAATGACCAATTTGAAACATTTGTTAAAAATCAAATGTTTTAAGTTTAATTATATTGATAATGTAATTAAAATAGTTACATTATTTATTACATTTGCAACATGGTAAGGGACTGTTCATTTTTAAAGTAAAAAATGGGGGAAAGTAATACAATAATAATAACAATAATAAAAAGAATAAAAAGAATAAAATCACCAAAATTGCATCATTTATCACAGCCAGAAAATGTAAAAATGGAAATTATCATTGGATTTTCAAATTTCAGACGGTCCTTGGACACAAAAACACCAAATCTGACCTTAAAATGTGATATATCACTTTATTCTGTGTCTCATTGAAAATGTGGCAAAAAATAAACCGTTAGCACGACAAGAGTTAAAAACAAGTTTTGAAAATCTAATAACTCATTTATGGTGGAGGGAGGGTCATGGATTTTCCTCCAGTCACACAGGGAGGGTCAAGGAGAAATATCTGGAGCTTCAGGGAGGTTAAAAAAATAATAAATATATATTTTTAAATCAACCAAAGTCACACTCCAGCCACCCTCCTCCTCTGATAAGTAAAGAACAGTCCCTAACTAGTGATCTATAACATTTCAACAGTGACCCTCCCAACACTGTTTATTGCCTCACCTGTTGATTTACACACTTAACACACTCAAATACACACTTTGTTTTCCTGCATGGGATCAATAAATTTATCTCACCTTGTGTCCTCTGTAAAGTCTTCAAGCTTCAGCAGGTCCAGGTCCAACCCAGAACACCTGAGACCTCCTCACCTGCGCCCCACAGCGGTCTGGATCCAGTCTGATGCCTCACAGAGCAGCTGCAGTCACTGTTCGGGTCAAAGGGCGCAATTAAAGAGCGCTGGGGTCAAGTTCAAACACGCCCCGCCTCTTTCACAGCATGGCCTCATCCCGTTGGTTCACTCTTTGATTGACTGCGCTGTCCTCCAATAGGAGTAGAGAACGGGCTGCGCAGGCGTGTGAGAAGAAGACGGGGGGTTTAAAGTGAGCAGGAGCAGTGAGGAAGAAGTGCTGCTGAGGCTCCACAACACGGAAGGTGAGGACTTTATTATGTCATATTGCCTTTAATTAATCTTTATAAACTCTGTCAGTGTGATTAATTAATATTAATTAAGTGTGTCGTCACATTTATCTGGTCTTTTATTGAGTGTTTGTGTCGATAACAGAGTGTCATCTCTGCTAGCTTTAGTTAGCTAGCTTTAGCTCGTTAGCTAGTTTGGGGCATATGGATCAACTTAAAGTTACTTAACTTGATAATTTATGTTTCTTATCTTATTTTCAAAGCACATTTGAATATTTTACAGGCAGATATAGCTCTCTGTGCTCATTGTCCTTTATGTGCAGCCTGTTTTAATTCTTCCTCATCTTCTTAGAGTTTTAGTTTTACATAAAAATAGGCTTGAAAAGAGTTTCTCACCATATATTTCAGTCATTAACAGACAGGTATTAGTCTCTGTTGTTATTGTTGTTCGTGTGCAACCTTTTTTAAATTCTCTTTGACCTGCTAAGTCAGATGTTTAACACAAAATGGGCCTGTAAAGTATATTTAATAGTGTATCTTAGTTATTTACAGACAGATATTAGTCTCTGTCGTTATTGTTGTTTGTGTGCAGCCTTTTTTAATTCCTCTAAATGTTCATAGTCAGTTGTTTTAGACAGAAATAGGCTTATTGTTCAGGATATATTTCAGTCATTTATGAGCATGTATTTTATGTCTTTTGTCCTTGTTTTTTGTGTGCAGCCCCTTTTAATTCTCCTCAACCTGCTAAATCAGACGTTTAATACAAAACAGACCTGTAAAGTATACTTATTGATATATTTTAATACTTTACAAACAGGTGACAGTCACTATTCTTGTTGTTTGTGTGCAGCCCCTATTAGTTATTCTCAGTCTGTTAAGTCTGATGTTTAACACAAAAAAAACCTATATTTGATGATATATTTTGATCATTTACAGGCAGGTATTCGTCTCTGTTGTCCTTGTTGTTTGTGTGCAACCTTTTTGAGATCCTCTCTGACCTGCAGAATCAGATGATTAACACACAACAGACCTGTAAAATATATTTAATAATGTATATTAATAATTAACAGACAGGTATTAGTCTCTATTGACCTTTTTGTTTGCGTGCAGCCTGTTTTTTCATTCTTGCCCGATGACTTCCTCATGCCAGCATGTCAATCAAGTGTGGCAACTCTTATGAGTTTGTCGTTCATTACAGGCTTTAATGAGACTAAAAGAAGTCTTGCAGCACTAGTTGTGAGATTTTCTGCATGAAATGTGTTTTATAAACTAAAACAAAAGGGAAATACGCTCCTTTTCCCGTCACAACTGCAGGATGGCTGGTCTTCACTTTCACTTTTGGTTTCATTGAGTAAAAAGTCCTCTAACCGCAAACACTGCAGACAGAGATCAGGTTTCCTTAATGGACTTTTTGGGTACTTTACATCTCATATGTAGTAAAAGGGTAAATGAGGCCGAGGTGCCTCCCCAGCTGATGCATTCACTGAGATGGAGGAATGTGTATTAACCCTTCAAGCACCACTCTGATGCAAATTCATTCTTTTACGCCTATTTTTAAACAGGATTTGTTGTAGTCTTTGTGATCAATATGAGACAATGGTAACACAGAACTACAAGTCACTCAGCCGGATAGGGAAATGGTCGCCTCACCACTTCACCAGCACCAGCTACAGCCCTGACCACATGGATGAACAACACCATCTCTGCACCATATTACAACAGTACTTCATTTGACTTTATTATGACAGTAGCTTCTTTATTTAACGTTACTGTAACTGTAGATCATTTAATGATTTTGTATTTTAATAGTCTACAGTAGTTTAGAGGAGATTTCAAAATATTGAGATTTATATCATGTATCACGATGTAGCCTAAACATATATGGTGATATTATTTTTAAGCCCTATCACCTCGCCCTACTCCCTGTACACACACGACTGTGTAGCCACTTCAGACTCCAACAACATCATGAAGCTTGCTGCCAACAGCTGTGGTGGGCCTGATGACAGATGACAGTGAAAAGGCATACCTGAAAGAAGTTTAGGACCTGACCTGCAGGTGTCAGTACAACAACCTCCTCCTGAACATCAGAGAGACCAGTGAGCCTGTCGTCAAGTTTGAAGAGAAGCCCCCTTAATATCAACGGATCCTTGGTGGAGATAACTTCAAGTACCTCAGTGTCCACATCACCAAGGGCCTGACCTGGGCACTGAGGAAGCTCCTTCACCTCAGACGCCTGAGGAAATTCTGGGTATCCCCTGCACCATCGAGAGCGTCCTGACGAACATCACAGCCTGGTACAGATACAGCAAAGAACACATACTGAATAGTCAGTGCTCTGCCATTCCCAAAGGATTTGTACACACCAGGCACTGTGGGAATAAGGCCAGGAGAATCATTGAGGATCCAAACCACCAGATAACAGTCTTCTCTTGGGAAGAAGGTACCGTGAGAGGGTCAAGAAGAACTTCTACCTGCAGGCCACAAGGATCCAAAATGAGGTCATTGGCCAAGACTGCCCCAGACCCCCCTTAATCATACACAAATATTTATTATTACACTCTTATTGAAGGATCTGACAGGATTATATTTCACTGCATTTGTACCTTATAGGATTTCATGTGACTAATAAAACTGATTGATTTCACAGATGTCATTCGTCAACGACCGGCTGTACAATGAATTTGTGCGGCGGAAAATGCCGACCTTTGTGGACAAAGTGGACGTGGGAGAAATCATATACCATCTACCGTGCCTGACAGCTCATGACAGGGTGAGTTTCATTAAACATAAGGAGCTGTCACTGGCGCTGGAGATTGTTTGAATAGTACTGGAATATTATTATGTATTGGCTCGAGCACTCCCACTAAATGTTGCATCAGTAGCCCTTTTTACGCAGAGATGGCGCTTCAAAGTCCCTTCTTCATGCTGTCTTTGCATTTTTACACAGAACCAAATAAAAGTGCCATCATGTCGCTCCAGTGTGTGATTTTTAGACAGCATGCTGACATCCTGGAATCAAGGGTCATGACGGTCGTGACATTTAACGTCACATCGTCAGCCTCTAGTGTGACATATAACATACGCATCAGCAGCGCTTTATAGACAATAACAATGACATCACATGTCAATAACAATCATTTTCCTTCCCTGTTACATGGTGGCTGATCTCGTCCTCTGCTGGGAGGGTACGGAGCTCCTGGACCTCACTGTTTTACCAAATTGCTATCCTCTGAGTTAGCTGCTAACTGCTAACAGCTACTCTTGAAATCTCCCACCATGGGTCACACGCATAACATGTCGTCAAATCGTCACACCCGTGCTGCCTATGATCCCGTCCTGCAGGTCCTGTTCCTGGCTCTGAGGCGAAACAACTCGGTCCCCCTATTCTGCGATTGTACCTTTTATACAGAACGGTGTGACAGCGTGATATTCTCACCTTGAAGAGGCGGTGTAAAATGGTTCTCTTTGTTTTGCACCGGTTACCAGGAGAATCCTAAATTTGTTCCTCCATATACGACACTGCATACAGATGGATAAAAGTCTGTCTCACTACCAAGTATCCAAATTATTTTTCCATACGTGTGCCGATACAAGAACTTTCTATACAAATACCAAAAAGAAAAAAACAGTTAATACTCCCACCTTAAAGTAAAGCTCTCAAATGTTAAATGTTGTCTAAACACAACTGGACACACATTAACTTTGCCTTAGTAAAATAGTCTTTTTTAAATTTAAATCTGGAAATATGTGATCAAAAGAATATGAAAAATCTAACCTCACATTTGAGACCATCTTTTTGAACTTTACAGTTTTTAATAATGGACAGGTTTACAGAGTCTACCATTTAGTTGATGCTTTCCTCCAAAGCCAGTAATACATTTTCACAACAGTGAACCATTTCTTGCAGAGTTAACAACAAGAAGCTGATGACTGCTCTGATCAATTGATGTATGTGTATTTTTTTTTTCTCCAATGAAATGTAATTTTAGGAACACATTGAGGCGAGGAGACAGAATCGTGGGAACCGTGAAGGCGTGGCGATGCTTCTGGACTGTCTGAAGAGGAGAGAAAACTGGCCGGAGCAGTTCATTGAGGCGCTCGAGGCGTGTGAGCAGTGGACCCTGGCAGCTGAGATGAGAGCAAAGTACAACGCTCTGAGAGGCATCAGACAGGCTGCTGTTGCTCCGCCAGCTAAAGCATCAGCTCCTTCAGAGCCAGCTGCCCAAGTTCCTGAGGCTATTTCCCCACCTGAGCCTGTCCCAGAGCCTCCACAGTCCACTCAGGCTGAAGTGGCACCTCCTCCATCAACACCTCCTCCTTCCCCTGCCGCCCAGCACACTCAGCCCACTACACCCCCACCTCCTCAGAGGGAGACTAATTCTCACCAGGAGCAGGTGGAGAACTCTGAATCAGACATCCAGAATGTCTCTGCTGATGATGTTGTGATCCCTGATCAGGTGAGCGCAGGAAACAGAGAGGTATCCATCAGCTCTGTGGACGCTCCTCAACCATCTCGTCCTGTTGAGCAGTGTGAAACACACACTGCGTCCCCAGATCTTCTCCAAACAACAACCACCTCCACAGAGGTCAGTCCACCACAGAGTCCCTCTGCATCTCAGATGAACACCGATGTGACCGATGGATCCTCTTTCCTGACCCTGACCCCAGAGAGGCCTCCAGTCCAAGACACCAGCCCTCCTGGGGACTTCAAAGCTGTCCTGCAGCCTGAAGAGACGTCTGAACCTGCACAGGTGAAAACCTAAATATCATCATTTAAAACTAAAGATCCCACATACTGTCCATCTGTGTTACAGTCCTCAAACCTTCATCAGGATAAATTAAATACAGTCTTCTTCTGTCTAAACTACATAGTCACATGTCCATGCTTGTGCACAACATAAAAACAAAAAGGGGGCCCATTCATGAAAACAGTGCTCACTAGCATTCCACAGGGTGCCTTTAGTGAAACCCATTACCTACATTACTATGTAAAAATTCAGTTATAGAAAATAAGTTAAAGCAAGTTTTTGTCACAGTGTTTTCACCCAACAGCAAAACATTTCTGTGTGATGCATTCACCAACAGCCCTGCAATACATGCTAAAGCCAAAGTTCAGTGTTCAACAGATTCAGCTACATTTGAGGCAGTCAAACACCAGTTTACTTTAAAAAAAAATGAACCTGACATGTGATGTTAATTTCTCCTGCAGGTTGTTGAAAGCAGCCCACAGACAGAAGCTGCAGCGACCACCTCCCCTCCGCTTGGTGCTGCTGGGATGGGTGCCCCTCTGTGTGATGACAGCTCTGTGTGTCTGAGTAAACCTGGCCCACTCATCAGCGTCCACCCACTAAATCACAGCAGCCCTACGATCCCTACACAAAGCTTGTCGGTGCCGCCCTACTCGGGTAATACTGAGCGTCTGGAAATAAGCAGTTCTGTGTCGGATGCTGTGACAACTGCCCAGAGTTCTACATGCTCCACTGTCAGCCCCACCACCATGACTACAGCGTCTGCACCTCCATGCCAGGAGACCGGCATCGCTCTGAACCATAATGAACCGGAGGAAAACCACTATGAGTCTCCACGTAACAGTTTGGGAATGCAGTCAGTGCAGGAGCACGTGGGGCACGTATCTGAGGAGCCGTCTATCCTTAACCTCGACGGCCAAAACTTGACACCACAAGTTCCAGCTGTTGACAGTGAAGCAGCCAAAGAGATGACCTCTGTTCCACCACTGTCCAACAACGCTGCTGATACTGTACCGAGTGTAAACACCTCCTGCAGTGAGAACCACCACCCGTCTGAGTCTACACCCACTGATCTGTCAGCAGAGCCGAAGACACTGCAGGATTCAGAGGACAAGATGGCCTGTCGCACCCTGACACCTAATACAAAGTACATTCTGATCGCTGCAGGAGTGGGCGCCTGTGCACTGCTGATGGCGTGGAGGTTTAAGCATTAAGGGGAAGATTTGGCTTTAAGGCTTTTTAAAGAGGATCTTAAGGTTATGGTGCCTTATTGTAGTCACTGGACTGGGATGGCGTGAGGCAGCTGTTTAATAATTACCATGTCGTTGATTACGAGTAGGGGTGCTGGGATATTGTCAATAACCATGATTTTTAAAAATGAAATACTGATATCATGGTAAAAAATACACAGATCATATTGTGTAAACAATCCCACAGCTCTTAAATCATTTCTGTTTAAATGTTCTCGCTCTGTCTCTCGACCTTAACACCACCTGGTTGCCTTTTAACTATCCGTTAAGTGTAACTGCTCCTTTTGTACGATGTTGCAAAGTTATGAATATGCACTTGTGTAGCACCTTTCTAGCACTTTTACACAATGTGTCACATTCACACATTCATACACTGGTGGCTGGGGCAACTGTACAAGTTGCCACCTGCTGCTCAGTTATACATTTACAAGCACTCTCAGGGTGCGGTCACACATGAGACAAACACCAGCGAAAATTCGCCTTCTGTTTAATGTGAGCAGAGCGGTGGATAAAACGTTCGCATCAGGTGGCAAAGCAAATTCCCATCTTTGCATCGCGTTGAGTTCAACTTGGGTGAACTTTGGCCCACGGAATCGCAGCCTCAGCCAAAAGACTCTTCACTGTTAGTAAACAGTATGATGTTTCTTGGTGGGCGGGGCTTAGCTGGAAGCAAACAATTCATCACAGACATTAGCTAGTGCTAGTTAGCACGTTCTGTGGTGCATTCAGAGATACTAACTCCGAGTGTTGGAGCGCACTCTGGACACTCTGTCTGTGGAGATGCGCCATGTCAGGTCACTCACTCTCCGGGACCACCAGTGTTACTTGAATAAGTAAACACTGACCAACGGGACCAGACTGGCCGACCCGTATGCTCTCACTCAGTGGATGGATGATGTCACAGGAAGCCAATCTTACAAAGGAGGACCACACTTGTTTGTTTTGCTATGGAAGCTAACGTTAGCTAATGTGCTAAAAAGTTAGCGTTACAGAGAAATCCAATATTCCTCTTAATCACTCCCCAGTTTCTGATGAGGTGGACATGATAACCCTTAATACACATAACCTTATTCATCACTACAACAGGAAATACTTTTTCCCTAACCTGATATGAAGTGTGCGCTGCACATGTGAGCATTTTTGATGATGGCCTCCGTCCAGTCATTTGGTCTTATCACATTTAACCATAGTTGTCTTTGTTTTTGTTGACGGGCAGTGGCGGCTGGTTTTGAGCCATGACTTCTTCTATTCTGGCTCCCAATAACACAACAAGACAAACACATTTTAACACTCCTGTGAAGCCTACAGCCCTGTGGGGGAGAGGCAGCTGCTCCTCCAGGTGATAACATGATGTCATCGTGACGTCAGCACTAAGAGGGTCTAAACCAACCAACCACCGATATTGCCAGATATGGGCCATGGAAAATATAAAAGGCGTCACGTGAGAGATGCTGCAGTGAGTCAGGAGACAGGCATGAAACATAAAAAATTTAAAATGAACCAATAACAACATGTTTCGCTGTATTTGTTAGCAAGCTAGCTTTCTGTGTCGGCCACGTCAGGCACTGCCCACATTCAGCACAACTACCACGTGTGACCGTGCTCTCACTAGGGAGCAGTTTGGTGAAGGAGGAGTCAGGAACTGAACTGCTGATCTTCAGATTAGTGGACAACCTGCTCCACCTCCTGAGTCATGGTTACAGACTCTCTCCACCTTCATACACTCGTGTTTTCAGTAGGGCTGCCCCCTGAAAGTCGGAGATTCGAATCATCAGTCGGAGACCCCTTAGTCGACTGAGAATCTTCAAGTCGAGCAGTTTTCTTTTTTTTGTCAGTCTGTGTGCAGTGTGCTTCTGAGGATGTTTCAGTCCCCAGATTTAGCTGCAGAGTGAGCGCTCCTCACTTTCATGCTGCGGACACAGAGACAGCTGACCCTAAAGAAGTAGAGGCTTTGCCCCCGTCAGGCTCCAGGATAACGTTATCTTCTGCCTTCTTTTAAGAAGGCATTCATTCATTCATTCATTCATTCATTCGACACAGTCTCTGGCTTTTGTTTGACATTTCCAATCAGTCTTTAACTCAGTTGGCTTGTTTACTATTCAGTGTGAATGTCACTGTCACCCTGAACGTCCCACTGAACCCAGTTCAAACCATCAAAATCTTATCTGTTAAAAGAGGAACAAATAGTTGAATATTCATGTGAAACAGATAAATCTGATTAAACTGAGATAATCCTGAGTCGGGTACAGCTCTAATTTTCAGTGTTATTTATTCACCAAAAAGACAAAATGCACTAAAGAAATTAAAGATTCATTTAAATGATAGTATTTTTCTTTTTCTAATTTTGTATTGATATTGCGATAAAATCGTCATCGTAAACTCTTTTGGCCAAGATAACCATGTAGTAAAACTACGATGTCGTGCCAGCCCTCATCACAAGCATGTTGTAAAGTTGCACCATGTTTTATCACTTTAGTGTTGAACGGAGTCAACCCTGGTGAGCAAAAACCAAATCTACTCTTCTAATTGTGAGCTTCATGAAACTGAGATGAGATCTCAGGTTATTTATGCACTTGTTGCAAACCTGTGGTTTGTGAAGATGCACTGATGCTGTGTATTAATGACGGAAACAAACAGATATTATAAAAAATGTACAATAAAAATGTGTTGTATTTTACAGGCTTTCACGGCTCCAAGTTTTGAGACCACTGGTCTGATCAAACTGTCAGGAAAGAAAAACTTAAATTTAGAAAGTTTTGCACATATTAAGAGGATCTCTGAGCTGCACATATTAAATGTATTGTCATTTATCTCAATTTGGTCGCTCTCTGTCTCTCTCTCTCACACACACACACACGTGTGTGTGTGTGTGTGTGTACATTTTGAATGTGCATGTTGAATAAAATAATATAAATATTTCAGATTTTGTGCATTTATTTGGGATTATAAAATAGTACTTGCTTCACCTTTGATATTCATACATGTTTTTTAAGACCATAACATAAAATCATAAAATATCAATAAAATAATATAAATATTATTTACAATTTTGTACATTTGTTTGGGATTTTAAAACACTGCCTGTTTCACCTTTGATAGTGTTTTTTAAGACAATAAAATAATAGAATATTATTGACAAAATAATATCAACATTATTTAAGATTTTGTGGAATTGTTTGCGATTATAAACTAGTGCTTGTTTCACCTTTGATACGCATACGTACATGATTTTTTAAGATAATAAAATAAAATATTAATAAATACAAGCATTTAAAATTTTATACATTTGATTGGGATTATAAAACGGTGCTTGCTTTAGCTTTGATACTCATTTTTTTCGACGATAAAATATTAATAAAATAATAACAAATTTTACTTCAGATTTTGTACATTTGTTTGGGATTTTAAAACACTACCTGTTTCACCTTTGATATTCTTCCTTGTTTTTTAAGACAATAAAATAATAAAATATTATTGACAAAATAATATAAACATTATTTAAGATTTTGTAGAATTGTTTGCAATCGTAAAGTAGTGCTTGTTTCACCTTTGATATTCATACGTTTCTAGGACAAAATCATAAAAAATAAATATATGAATATTGCTTAAGATTTTGTAAATTTATTTGGGCTGATAAAATAGTCCTTGCTTCACCATTTATTTGCATTCATACATGATTTTTTTTCTTTTATGTGAAAACTGAATAAAACAGTGACATCAGCCTCCTTTTATTAACTGTTTTCTGATTGGCGGATTCGCGCTCTGATTGGTTCTGGCGTCCTTCAATCACTCACTAGCCCCGCCCTCCTGAGCCTTGACAGCGAACATAAAAAGGACATGTACCGGGCCGTTTATAACCACACAGCTACTTAGCTAGCTAATTAGCTAGGCCATAGCTCCTAGCTCCTCGGACTTCATTGTCCGCGGGAATAACTGACGTCCAATGCTTTTATTTATCGCAACCTGCAGTATATATGTAGTGAATTAGTCATTTCAATGGCGTTCAATGGCCACCAACGCGACGATGAAAGTATCGACGAAGACGAAACGCCCACGAAGCAGCCGCGGTCCGACAAGGAGATGCCCGGGTATCTCAGAACCGAGCCCAACAATGAGGCGGCCGCGCCCGCAGGAAGAGCCACATCCGACCGGCGGACCTCCAACTCGACGGCGAGGCATCGGAGCGACTCGGTGAAGAAAACAAGGCCGCGTAGGTGTTACCGTTACTAGCATGGGCTGAGTGTAATTACTGGGGAACGCACCGTTGTTGTATATGTACACAAATCAAAGGCGTTCCCCGCTAAAGACTGAAAATACAGATTTGGAAAGAAAATCCAATTAACTGATAATTAGCCGCAAATATTCATAAAAATATAACGTTACAGTAAATATCTGTATGATGTGGCGGGATGATATTAAAAATAATTCCGGTGTTGGTATTACAATGTAACATCGGCGAGCTGTGGCGTCAGTAAATAGACAGGATCTGTTTTGCAACAAGATGGCGTTCGCGGTACACACTGTACTTCTGCTTCTGTGGATGAAGCTGATGCCGTTATGTCGGCCAACATGTCGACACCAGCTCCACCCGCCCTCACCGTCACTAAGCATTTACATATTACAGATACAAGGAGATATTATGATCCAGTGTGAAAGAAATAAAGACACAATGTTGGTGAATGATTTTTTTGTTGTTGCATATATTATCTCACACAATGCAGCATTTCCCTGGTTTGGGATGGACATTGGAGGCACCCTGGTGAAGCTGGTGTACTTCGAGCCCAAAGACATCACAGCCGAGGAGGAGCAGGAAGAGGTGGAGAACCTGAAGAGCATCCGCCGCTACCTGACCTCCAACACCGCCTATGGTAAGACGGGCATCAGGGACGTGCACCTGGAGCTGCAGGACCTGACGCTGTGCGGCAGGACGGGCAACCTGCACTTCATCCGCTTCCCCACTCATGACCTGCCGGCCTTCCTGCAGATGGGCCGCAACAAGCACTTCTCCAGCCTCCACACCACCCTCTGCGCCACGGGAGGGGGGGCCTACAAGTTTGAGTCTGATTTCCGCACGGTGGGTCTGCTGTTGTTCTCCTCTGTTTGCTTTTACAGGCTGCACAGTGCAGACTGACAGGAAGGAGAGACGACAGAGAGAAGGCAGAACATATTTTTAGCATTTTATGGGAATTAATGTAACAGAACAGGCAGTGATGGAGAACACCTGGATCCCATATTTACAGATGTAGCAGCAAGTGGAGACAAGGACAGAAAGGGGCGTGTCCTCAAGCACCTGTCAAGATATCAAAGCAAATAATTTTCTTACTTCTGGACCATAACAAAGCATCAGGTAATTAATTTGGACAAATTAAAGGGACAGTTAAGACCTTTTGATGTGAGGCTGTGTGACTGTATGTGTTTCCTACAGTAGGTGTCAGCACATCTCCAGGTTGGATACACAGGCTGGAGTATTAGCATGGACGCTAAGCACTGTACTGCTGTGGAGGGGGGAATCAGCAAAATATATTTTAGGCTCCTAAAAAATCATTCTCACAGGGTTCCAATGGGTCCTTGAAATCCTTGAGAGTTTGTGAATCTGAGGGGGGAATCAGGATCTTTAAAGTTTTTTGAAAATAGACATAAATAGACATGGGTCATTGAAAGTCCTTAAATTTATATACCTAAAATATTAATATCACAGGGTTCCCATGGGTCCTTGAAATCCTTGAGAGTTTGTGAATTTGAGGGGGAATCGAGGCCTGTAAAGTTTTTAAGACAAATAGACATGGGTCATTAAAAGTGCTGAAATTTATATACCTAAAAATTAGTATATCAGGATTCCCATAGGTCCTTGAAATCCTTGAGAGTTTATGAATTTGAAGGGGGGAATCAAGGCCTTTTAAGTTTTTTGAAAATAGACAAATGGTTAGTAGTCATTGAAAGTGCTTACATTTCTATGCCTAAAATATTAATATCACAGGGTTCCCATGGGTCCTTGAAATCCTTGAGTTTGTGAATTTGAGTGGGGAAATAAATAAGGCCTTGAATGGTTTTTTTCTAATTTGAATAAGCATTAATACATAATAGATATGAGTAACTGAAAGTGCTTGAATTTATGTACCTTAAAACTCAATTAAACAGGGTTCCCATTGGTCCTTGAAATCCTTGAGAGTTTGTGCATTTGAGGGGAAAACTGTTTGAAAACAAACATCAGTAGATATGAGTCATCGAAAATGCTTGAATTAATGTAAGTTAAAAAAAAAGAATATCACAGGGTTCCGATGGGTCCTTGAAATCCTTGAGCAGTTGAGGGGGGTGGGGGGGGGACAAGGCCTTGACAGTTGAATAAATAGATATGGGTCATTGTAAGTGCTTGAATTCATGTACCTAAAAACCAATATCACAGGGTACCTACAGGTCCTTGAAATTCTTGGGAATCTGTTAATTTTAGGAGGGAAAAATATCAAGGTCTTTGAAGTTTTTTGAGAATAGACAAATAGATGTGGGTCATTGAAAGTGCTTGAATCTATATACATAGGAGAAAGCAATATCACCGGGGTTCCCATGGGTCCTTGAAGTCTTCAAGAGTTTGTGAAATTTTTTGGAGTGAAAAATCAAGGCCTTGAATGTTGTTTTTTAACAGATACAGATGTGGATCATTGAAAGTGCTTGCATTTATGTACCTAAAAATACATATCACAGGTTTCCCATGAGTTCTTGAAATCCTTGAGAGTTTGTGAATTTAAGAGGGGAAAATACCAAGGCCTTGACAGTTTTTTGAAAATAGACACCAACAGACATGAGTGATAGAAAGTACTTGAATTCATGTACCTAAAAATCAATATCACAGGGTACCTACAGGTCCTTGAAATCCTCGGGATTCTGTTAATTTTAGGAGGGAAAAATATCAAGGTCTTAGAAGTTTTTTGAGAATAGACAAATAGATATGGGTCATTGAAAGTGCTTAAATCTATATACATAGGAAGAAGCAATACCACAGGGGTTCCCATAGGTCCTTGAAATCTTTAATTTTTTTGGGGGGGGGGGTGTCAAGGCCTTGAATGTTTTTTTTTTTTTAAACATACAGATGTGGATCATTGAAAGTGCTTGAATTTATGTGCCTAAAAATAATTATCACAGATTTTCCATAGGTTCTTGAAATCCTTGAGAGTTTGTGAATTTTTAAATTTAAAAACAAAAACAATATCACAGGGTTCCCGTGGGTCCTTGCAATAACTGTTTGTGAATTCGAGTGAGAAAAAAAATCAAGGCCTTGAAAGTTTTTTATGAATCGTCATAAAAAGATGTGGGACATTTTTAACAAACTATGGGATGTACAGATGCACAAGACATGTTCCTATAGTGATGAAGGTTCCTGTTTGCTCTTCCTCCTCCCCCAGTTTCCCGCCTCTGTCTCCTCCTGACCAGTGACCACATCCCCTCAGTGACGTAACCCATGTTCTCTTTCCTCTCACCACAAAGATGGCCGACCTGCAGCTTCACAAGCTGGACGAGCTGGACTGTTTGATTCGGGGGGTGCTGTACATCGACTCGGTGGTGTCCCGCGGACCCTCAGAGTGCTACTACTTTGAAAACCCCACTGACCCCGATCGCTGCATCCAGAAGCCGTACACACTGGAGAACCCCTACCCTCTGCTGCTGGTCAACATAGGGTCAGGGGTCAGCATCCTGGCCGTCTACTCTGAGAACAACTACAAACGAGTTACAGGGACCAGGTAACTATCACTGCTGCAGATTCTCTCAGCTTATCAGTCATTTAATGTTAGGGGGTTTGTTTTCCTGCAGTTTTTAGAGCAGTGTTACATATTTAAAGATATTTGGGTTTGCTTTGTGGGTCACTGGCCTCATATGTCAGCAGAGAAACAGAACAGGAACAGAAAACATGTAATGTGACAAGCTAACCATACCCCAGTCTCAGAACCTATCAGCTGTCATCGTGACAACGATAAAGGGGCCAGAATTTTGGGCTGTTTGAGTGTAGCCAGCAAATCTCCAGCCGAGACTTCCTCCTCCATGTGCCGCTCATTCAGACTATTTTATACTATTTTCTTCACAGATATCTGCACATGAAGGCAGATGAATTATAATAAACGCTAAAATATATATGATATAATGAATATAGCTAATACATATATAATTGTGTTAGATGATGGCAGATGGGCTCTGAGACTGCATTTCAGCCAATTTCTGCCTCTTCATTATGGGTGAGAATTGATATTATCAAGACATATGAGTCTCGATACACATTATTGTGATTTTGAAAATTTTGTTTTAATTTTTTGAATTTTATCGGTACTCTTATCGATTCACATGTATTGATAAAGTATTGGCTTCTTACTTGCTAAGGTGTTATTACACCCTTACATTAACAAGTGTAGTTGCCGTCAGCTCGAGTCATTTTCGAGTTATCTTCACTTCGTTTCCACCGTCGCTGCTCAGCTGTTCACAGATCACCGTGTCATGTAGGTGTGTATGTGTGTGAAGCTCCGACACAAAGCGCAGGTGAGAGGCTGCAGGATGATAATGAATTAAACCAAGTGTGTAAAAGTACAGATAACATTGGAGCTTATCAATACTACGCTCTTTGATAACTTAGCCCCAGGGCTAATTTAGTACTGGATTTCAGTATCCATCTCTAGTAATCACAGCACCCAAGCAAACACAAATCAACTTGCACATACATCCAAGTCACATCACCCATGCAGGGAGACCTCACAATATGTGGGAAGATTGCAGCATCAGTATAAAAAGGAAAACAAGTAACTATAAATAAGATTTAAAAATATATATATTATTGTGATTGTAATGGTTTTGTGTTACTCAAAGGAAAACTTTAACATCTGTATCCACTAAGATAAAGTTTTCAGTCTGTTCATCTAACTTCATTTTTATTGCTGCAAAATGTATCAGGTGGACTGAAAAGAAATTGATACTTGGCTGTGCTGTAAGAGTTATTCCCCACCCCTACTCCCCATATTGACCGTTTACCTACTGCTCGCATGTGTCTGGTCAGTACTGCTCAGACTACATATGAAAACCAGAACAGTCCTGATACCAGAATCCTGACTTGTCGCTGTACACATTCTGCACACATACACAGGTATCTGTTTCTAGACATGAACCCTACCAGGCTGATACAGGGTTAAAGTGATGCAGGTGTAGATGTAGGTGGGTGCAGTCCAGTCAGGTGGGTGGTCAGTTTGGTGACGTCTGTCCTCTGTGTCTCCCTCGAGCTTTGGTGTTAAAAGTAGCAGCTTTTTATATTCACAAAACCACTTCCTGTACTCAACTGTTTGCCTGTAAGCTGAAGCATAATGGGTCTTTGTTAATTTGATTTGGGTTCAGTTTACAGTTTGAAATATGTTGGTTAAACAGAGTTTGACTCTCTCCACTGGTTTGTTTTCACATGTGGTTTTTCTGTCTGGTGGCTTTGAAAGCGACTCATGAAAACTGCTCCGTGGACATAATGGCTCTTTGTGCTGAGAAGGAAACACTAGATATGTGTAGCTGAATTTAGAGTCTGTATATAGCTGAAAACATGCAGGTGCTGCCGCAGTGTGGCAAGTCAAGTGCAGCCCCTAACACACACACTGGACACGTCGCACTGCAGCTCCTCAACAGAAGTCCATGCAAAGTTATTATTCCTTTTACTGAAAGATCTGAACTTCCTCCACCTCTGCATTACTTAAAATCATGTGTGTACAGCCACTAGTTAGACTTTATTTCTCAACTGAAGAGCCGATCTCCAGAGCCATGACTCGCCAGGCAGTAGCTTTTTGGCCATTGTCTTCATAATGACGGATTATGGGTTGTTTAGTTTGGGATATGTCTTGACCTCAACAATGAGTCTTTCCTCATCCAGCCTGTCTCAAATCAAAGTCTTAAAAATGCTAAGACATGGGAAATAAGATTTTATGAATTGCTTTTCTGACATTGCGTTTTAAATCTTGAAGTAATTGGTATTTATGGTAATTTATGGATAGCGTCTTGAATAAGCAGCAACACTCATATTTTGTTTTCCAGCAGCAAAGCTCAGAGCAGAGGATCCACCGTGGCCACGAGACAAAATCTCTTGTTTTATGTTACAGTGAACATTTGAGCAGAGAAAAAGTCCCTAACCCTGAATAACTGATGTTGGTTCATGTTTTATCTTTTCTAGTTTTGATTATTGTCAAAATTTGTCTTAAAGTCTTACGTATAACTCGCCATGTGGTGTCAGAACTCTGGTATGATGTGCATAACTTGTAGTACTTTTCACAGAGATGCACAAGTTTAGTCTCCATTTGAGACGTTACAATCCCTCCCCAGTGGAGACTGAAGTGTTTGTAGAAGGTTGTTATATCGTCTCTCTGTTACTCGTGTGTCTGCAGCCTGGGTGGTGGGACCTTCCTGGGCCTGTGCTGCCTGCTGACCGGCTGCTCCACTTTTGAGGAAGCTCTAGAAATGGCTTCTCAGGGGGAGAGCACGCGAGTGGACAAGCTGGTCCGGGACATCTACGGAGGAGACTATGAGAGGTTTGGGCTGCCAGGCTGGGCGGTGGCCTCAAGGTGAGGTTCACCTTTAATCTTTGACATTTACTGCATGTCACAAACCTGTTTTACAAACACAGTCCCAGCTTTAATGAAACAGGGAACCTGGACGGTGCTAAATTAGTTCCCTGTCCCAGCGTGAAAACAAGAAGCCTTGCTTTGAGCTTGATGCAGTTTGAGCATATTAACATCTGTCTGTCACTTTCAATATGTGCAGTTCCCAGATGTGCTTTTTACATTTTGCTGGATTTAAACAGACTCGTGAAGTCTTTGTTCGTCTAACATGGTTCATGTTTTGGTTTGATAGTTTTGGCAACATGATGTCCAAAGAGAAGAGGGAGTCGGTGTCCAAAGAGGACCTGGCCAGAGCCACACTGGTCACCATCACTAACAACATCGGCTCCATCACCAGGATGTGTGCTCTCAACGAGGTCAGTAACATGGAGGTTGGGGGGGACTTACTATAGCTCAGTATTTTATTGTCATGTGTGCTTCAGTGGCTAAAAGACTCCAGGTGGATGTCAAGATACAGCAGGGAGGAAATATTTCTTAAAATCCGTCCCCCTCCAGTTTCCCTGCTGGTCATTTCCTCTCTGCCTTCAGCCTCTTTACGGTGCTGCCTTGTGGCGTCTTGATCAAGCAGCATTGTACAGGGCTATGAAGGCGCAGAGGACGTACGCTGCATTATCCACGTGTCTTTTAACACCCTCAGCAGATGTTCAACTCTAAAACCAAATAAAATCAGCAATAATGGATGAGATGTTTTTAATTTATCAGTCAAAGTAACATGTTTCAAATACACAGCCCCAAAACTACTTGGATAAAATAATAGATTTATAGTAGGGCTGGGCGATATGTCCTGTTATATCACAATATTTTTTGGCTACATATTGATGGCATGGCTATATATATCTCTCTATTTTTATATCTTCTCAAAAACATTTCATTAATGCAAAAAACCACTAAGCCTCTTACAGAAAGTGGCAGTATAATCCAAGTCTCATTTATCCAGTCTTTTGTTGAGTACTTGACAAACATGAATTTTATCTAAATCATTAAAATATAAAATACCTCCACCTATGAGCAGCTCACCCTGAGCACCCTGTGTGTGGTCATATTGAGGGTGAAATTTTAGGAGAGTCTTTGAACAATCAGATTGACCATCTTAGCTGAACTCAACTGTTGTACAACTGCCTCAACAGATCTTACAGTTTGACACTCTGATAATATTTATCAGTTGTATTTTAATAAACGTTTATTCTCTTTGATCTCTAAGAACATAGAGCGAGTGGTGTTTGTGGGGAACTTCCTGAGAGTGAACACCCTCTCCATGAAGCTGCTGGCCTACGCCATGGACTACTGGTCTAAAGGACAGCTCAAAGCTCTCTTCCTACAGCATGAGGTAAATCACTCAAACCTTACTGACCTCAGAGACCAAATATAAAGTTCTGTGTTTTGATGGTCTGAACTATTCCTGACTCTGAGTTCTCTTTGTGTTTTCTTAGGGTTACTTCGGAGCGGTCGGCGCCCTGTTGGAGCTTCTGCATCCGTCCTAATGTATCCAAACTACACCCAAAGAAGCACTTGTCAATCTGCTGCAAAGACCATTAGCACTTTAGACTGTCCTGAAGTAATTCCACAGTGGGATGTTAGCCACACCAGCAGGTCACTGGTAAATTTTATCTGTCAAACATTTGGAAGTTTCAGAAATCACGCTGGTTAGTAAGATGGTGAAAGTGGCTTCTAAATGTTGACTCACATCTCTTGTTGTGGTCGATGGATAGAAGTGTGTTTCCTGCTCGGACCAAAGCTGAACGCAGCAAAGTCACTGTCTGCAGAAACAAGACAGATTTGGTCTGAAACATCTCAAGGAAATTCACCACAGTTGCCTGAAACACTCGGGTTAGAAAGCACTCGTCATCGTTTAGTCTTGTGGACTGCAGGTACCCTCAGAGGGGTCAGGTCCTGGGCCAAACATTTGTAAGTGTTTTCTAGGGTTTATTTGACCCTATTTAGGTACCAGGTGGATGGTTTAACTGTAGTGATTTTTAAGATAAACACAGGAAAGATGTCCCCAGTAAATCATCACTCATCTTTGTTTATGTCCTGAATATGTTTTTAATTTACTGTCTTGTCTGTAAAAGGTCAGAAAATAACTAAAAATGTCCGACGCAAGATTCCAGAGCCAAAGATGACTTCTTTAAAATACTTGTTTCACCCAAAAACAAAACAATTCTAAACCCAAAGATATAAAGTTTACAATCATATAAGACAAATAAATATTTAGATTTGACAAGCTTGATCAAGGAAACGATAAAAGAAGGAAAGGTCATGAGGTCAGTGACAGCGTTTGAGGAGCCAGACTGAGTTAAAGGGGCGGCACAGCAAATCACACTATAACACCAAATCATTAATGTTTCACCTTTAACTGAAATTTTTTCCATCTGATTAAAAACACAAATGATGTGATGTTGACTGATGATTTTTTTTATCTAAACATGCACTTTTGTTTTCCTGTTATTGGTCTCCAAACAGATCATTTCTGCATCTAGCTGCTGCGTCTCAGCCCCCGTTTCTTTTTAGCAGGTGCACGTGTTTAGTTATTAACAACTAACCAGATGTTAAACTTTTAATTATATTTAATAATATACAGAGGGCTGATGTTAGATAATGTTTCCTATTATTATCAGGAGGTGGCGCTACTCGCCAAATAATTATAAATCTGGACCTTCGTCACTTGTCAGTATTTGTGACTTTGTCAGTTATCTAAGTTAGCATTTGTGCTTTGTTTAGCTAACGTTAGCGAGCTGTAACTCTGTTGAGTCGCGCCGTGTTGATCTGGACCATAAACGTCAGAAAGCAGTATTTCAGTTTGTTATTGTCATTCTCTACGTACAGCAGCACACAGGGAACAAAATGTTACTTTGGAATCCAGGTGCAGTAAAAATATTTAGCAAACAAGACATTCAGCATGGACAGGGTAACATTAAAGTGTAATAAAGTGCATTGTGAATACTCATAAGAATAAAATAGGTGTGTGCAGAGGAATAAATATTGCATAGTTATGTACTGATAAAACAACAAGGTGACAGTTTGGAAAACCTCTCGAGCTTTATCGTTGTCATGACTTGTGTATGCAGCAGCTAATTATTGTTAAGTGACTAACGTAAGTACGAGTACAAATCACTGAGGCAAACTGCGAGGCATTATAGCACACAGACAAGTCCTAGTTTGGCGGATATTTACCAAACTAATAGATCGTATCATTGAGTCCAGAGCGAGTAACAATCAGAGCCAGTAAGAACTGATATGGTCATAATCACAGTCTGGTCAGTGATAACAGGTCGAACCTGCCCTGTTTGTTCATGTATCCTGATGTAACGTCAGATAGGTTTGACCCAACAGGGGCCTGAGACAGAGCCATGATCTGTTTGGAGACCCATAACAAGGAAAACAAAGGCACACGTTTAGATAAAAAACACAAATCAACATCATGTAATGTGAGTTATTAATCAGGTGAAAGGATTTTTCAGGTAAAGCTGAAACAAACTATTGGCAATGTTCAACTCTAGTCCCTAGTTGGGCTTTTACATTTACACCTAAAATGTTATTAAAAATATACATCATACAACCATCATACACTATAAACATGGAAGGCACAATATAATACATAAACTACAATCCACACACTACACACAGACCACTATACACCAGAACTTTGACACTAATAACCCTCAGACGTTAAAGAGCACATTGAGCTCAGAGTGGCCACAGCTCTGGTTTGCTTTAATCCAGCACTGACTTTTGTTGTGACAGATTTTAAATCTGAAGTCAGTTTGATTTCAGTCAATAACGTGTTCCAGAGTTGACAGCCCTTAATGGAAAAAGCGAATTGTCCAAATTTAAATTTACGATATGGTATTTTACAGCTGCCATTCACGCTGATGCTCCTCGTTACTACATTACTGTATTGTCTTTGATTAAATCTGGAAAGAAGCTCTGGAGCTAAACTGATGATACATTTGAAAACTGATTTCAGGAAACAAAAGTTAACGAAGCTGACAAGACGTCACTGCCATCATTTCCTTATTTTGTAGTTTCCTCGGTGAGAACCAGGAATTATTTGACATTTTCCTGTCTATATTGGACTAATCCTTTCAACACTACATGTTGCTCTAAATAACAACATATTGGAAATAAAACAAGAGTGTTCAATCTTGTAAATGTTCGAGATGATCTCTGAGAGTTGAGATGATTTTTTCCGTCATAGTTCACCCATCCATCTGGTACTCACAGTAAGCTTAATCAACACAATGAGAATTAGTTACATCCACTTATAAGCGTTTTATTGTTTAGCTTTTACTCTTCTAATCAGACTTCTAAGCCAGGTTTCCTCACTGGATGTTGACACCATAATGGATTAAAAATGCACCAGAGGTCACCACTTCATCAAACGTATTCTTTAATGGAGACATGAACTGTTACTGTTATAAACTTGCATCATTTATAAACAGCTGAGGTCTGAGTGTCTGTAGAGATCACATGAACCCAGTTTTTAACTTTCCAGCAGTTCTGCTATCAGGAAATCTGAACAGTCAGTTTTGGCGTTAGTGAGACTGCACTGTAACGCATGAGTGATAACATTAAGTCCCTCTCTGACCTGCCCTGCTGAAGTGCCCTTGAGCCACTGCATCCCTCTGCTTGTCCAGTGAAAAGGTGTCGATGAATGTGACAGTAGAGGTAAACACGGGGGCATTATCACATCCCTGAATCTTCCCCAGATTCTATAAGCAAAGTGATTTTAATGCAAAAACTTGATGCATTCCTCCAATGGAGGTTCTAGGTCATGTGACCCCTGACCACTTTTGTCTCGTTCAGTGTGTACTTTAATGTTTGAGTGTAATGCACGTCTTTGTTTTCCAGGAGACATTTAACAGTCTCTGCTGTGTGTTATCTGTTGTCTGTCCATCATTTCATTCATCCGTCCCATTTCACTGTCTCATGTTCATTCAGTCATCGGTCCATCACGGATCACAGGGACCACAATCAGTCGTCACCAACTTGACGGAGAGGTTAGACTCCTGAAATCATTGGAGACTCAGTGGACACAGTTTTTCAGCCGTCAGTCATAGAGATAGTGAACCTGTATAATTCAGTGAGTTGATATTAAATAAAGTGCCTGTCATGTTTTTGTAGAGAAACAATGATGTGTTGAGCAGTGTGGTTTTAAACGACACAAACTGGTCTGTAACTCTGTAGGTTTCCTTCTGTGGTTTGAGTTTAACAAACATAACAAAGAGAACTTTGTATGTTTTTGTTACTGTCATGAAACATTTCTTATTGTCACTATTAAATACAAACTTTTCATATCTTTGTGTCTGCTTGTGTTTTTATTGGAGAGCTATTAAAGCACCTCTGAAGCTCAGTGTAGATCACAGTTTTATGTGTGCTGATGAACAGACTCAGGCTGCTTCTGTATCTGTTTCCAGTCTTTATGCTAAGCTAACAGGCTGCTTGATGCAGCTCATGTAAATGAAATATAATCGTAGCACTCGTGTTCTTATGGAAATGTAGCAATTTTATTTAGAAGAATAATCTTTATTGTCATTGCACAAACAATGAAATTCTGTAGTTCAAGTACGAGTTGTAAGTTCAAGTAGAAAAATACAAGCATCAATATATACTTAGATTACATCAAAAAAATAAAAGTATTCATGCTGAATCTTCAATTTCAGAAATATTAAATCACAAATATTGATGCCCTTACACATACACAATAATATTAATGCATTTTAAGTTGAAGCCAGTAAATAATATTTATCATATATAGAGTTAAGTAGCAGTCACGTCTCTGTCCATAATAATGTGTTGTAATAATTTACAACAAAAAGTAAAAGTACGATATTTGCATCTGAAATGTAGTGTAGAAGTAGATACTCACGTAAAGTACAAGTACCTCTAAAATACTTTTAAAAATACTTAGCTACTTTCCATCAGTGCCTCACTATAACTATAACACACAGTGATGAAACAGCTGTGGTCGCAGAATGCTGTTAGATATCTCAGCTGATCTTCACCCTTCACATCCTGTAACTGACAGTGGTGGAAAGTAACTAAGTATATTTACAATTTTGAGGTATTTTTGTTACTTGAGTATCTTTATTTTACACTAATGTTACTCCATGAGAAATGTACTTTTTACCCAACTACAGTTACTGCACAGCTTTAGTTACTAGATAGATCATTAATATAAGATAAAAATCATCTAATAAATAAAGATGTATTTTTATGGATGAAGCTGCGAAACAACACTGAAGGAGAAAATAACTCAGACTGCTGAAGGACTCATCCTCCGCTTTATGCACATCTGACTGTAGTGAAAGCATGAAAATAAAAATGAAATTAAACTTTAATTCTTTTTACATGGTTCACATGTTCTTTGACATAACATTTCACCATTCTCATCCATTCATCCGTAAATTACAGTTGAATCTCCACAGTATATCCAAGTCTATATAAATAATACAGAGATGAATGATTGGTCCATCCACCATATTATAAGGCAATCTGTTAATACAATATAAGAACTAAACTTCGTAGAACAGGAAAGCTGGGGTGCACCTCCACGATATTTAAAACAAACAAACAAACTTTAAACTTTAAAAATGAAGTAAAAAGGGGAAGAATAGGAGAAGAAGGACATACAGTTTAGCATTAGACAAAAGATGGTCGCACCGGTGTAACATACATGATCCATCTTTCCCATCTTTGCAAAAACACACTTTGTTGCAGTCTTATGGCAAATGTAATTCTTTCCTAAACTTTAATTCTAGTCATGAAAATGCAATAAAGGGACATTTCACAGCATTTTTCAAATGAAGACCACATCAGAAACAACTGTACGCAGACAGATCAGATCTGGACTTTATTCTCCCAGAGAGACTAAATATTATTTAAAACACAGTTTCAGATTTGTGAAACTTTTATTCTACTTGTGAAACTGCAATAAAGGGACATTTCACTGCATTTCCACAGGCATGTAACCTCTCTGTGATAATCAAGTCCAGATTTAATAAGTCTAAGTTTAGTTTTTGGTCTGGACCTGGTCTGATGTGGTCTACATGTGAAAAAAAATGCAGTGAAATGTCCCTTAATTGCATTTTCACAAAAAGAATAAAGGTTTGACACATTTGAAAGTGGATGTCAGACAGATTTGAGGCTTCACCTTAAAAATCTAACAAGCTTTCAGAGCAATAAGAGCCTCAAAAAGAGGAGGACCACTGCTCAGCAATGTAAATTACTTTCCCCTTAACTCTCCCCTTAACTGACTTAAGAGTCGCAGCTACCAAGCAGTGAATTAAGTAATTAAATTTAACCCACATTCTCCAGCTTCAACATTAAAGTGATGAACACATTAATGCATCATTTATAATCCAGTAATCTATGATGTTCAAATGAGCCACACTGCAGACACCTGAGCAGTTTTACCTTTGTACTTTTTCTTCAGTCTGAATGCAGGACTTTAACATGTAACTGAGTATTTAAACTCTGTAGTATTGTTACTTGTATTAAAGTATAAAGATCTGAATTTGGGGACATGAAGGTAGCCTACAGCTTTAATGTAAAGTCACATTAAGGTCCTGGTGTGCAGCCCCCTCTGCTGCAGGTCAGTTTAAGGTAAGGACATTTTCTTCATCTTACAGTCAATATTTTTCCCCTAAAGAAGCTTTGCAGGTATGTTCCGCTTGTAAATCTTCCTCGGACACGGACTCTTCCTCCGGCACGTAGCCTGCGTGTGAAATAACTCAAATTCACGTTTTTGGGAGTTATGCAAGAGAGGAGGGCTGTTACAGAAACATCCATGAAAGAGTTAGTGTCCTTCCAGGGAATAGATCCAGCCCACTTCAGCCCTGCAGCCTCCTCCTCCTCCTCCTCCTCCTCCTCAGTGAAGGCTGCACAGCTGGCAATTTACAGACAATAAGTCTGAGAGGAGTAATTGGCTGCTCGGTGGATCACTGCTCTGCTAATCTGACCCGGGTTTGATGGAGGAGATGATTTAACACAAGTCCCGGGATATTTCTTCATCTGTAGTCTTCGGGGTTCCGTTTGTGACCTCCTGGATCAGCAGCTCCTCCGTCTCCACTGGAACCGTTATCACCTCCTCATACTGGGACCATAAGGTAAGATGGGTCTGAGGGAGAAGTGACGAGAAGGGCAGAAGTTAAGGGTCCTTAGGAAAGAGTCCTGACGAGCTGGATTTAAACAGTAAAACTAAAAAAAACAAGCTGCGTTTAATACTCACATCCTGGAGATTAAATCACACCTCATGTGCTGTATTTTTATTTGATAACTGTGAGGCAGCATTGAGCTCTGAAGTCAAACTAAATCCAGCCTCATTCTTAAAATCTACACATTTAAAACTTTGACTTTTAGCATTGTGGATGTTGGAGGTGGAAAAATGTGAGGAATGCTGCAACAGGAAACAAAGTGTGTTCCCAAAGCCAAATATTGACTCGGAAAATCATCTATTCACAGGAAGCTCTGCTGCCAAGTGTCTGGAGTGGTGCACTGGAAGTTATTAAACTGGTACCAGTCTCTAACAAGGCTCCATCATTAAGAGTAATTAAGGGACTGTTCATTTCTTATGAGAGGGGAAGGTGGTGCAAAAATGTGGAGGCATGTCAAAAAAAATTAAGCATTGGAGAGGGACGTTTTATTTTGGCTGAGGGGAGGGGCTACACATCTAGATGGCTGTATTTTGTTTTTATTTTACTGCTATTTTTTTTTAAGAAAACCTTTAAAAATCACAAAAATTAAATTAGAAACTGTTAAAATAGAAAATATTGTTGCATTTTTACATTTCCGATGGTCCTTGAACACATCATGTGCGACAAGCAGTAATCAATCCGATTTATCGTTTACTATTTTTTACTAATACTATTACTACTATTAGTTTGAAATATTCCATAAGGCCACAACAACAAGCTACTAAATAATAGAGGCCTTTTCTTCTGGGGTCCTGCTGCCCCAGCCCCCCTTGAGATGCTTTACCTGCTCTCTGGGGGAGATGGGCGGAGTTATCTGACGTCACATGAGTCCCGAAACACACCGTATCGTTATGTCAAAATGACTAAAGCTCTCTGGTGCCCACTCAACGGCCACTAGCTACTGAGAGGACGTGGAGAGAAAGAACATGAAATCAGCAGGAAGAGGGCTTGTTAAGTTAGCTGTTAGCTGTTAGCAGGTAGCTGTTAGCAGGTAGCTGGACTGTAGGAAGCGACTGGAGGTAAATCCATGACCCTCCCTCCACAGTTTATCGGCACTAGCCAAAAATAAACCGTAACATGAGCTAGCCAGCATGACAACAAGAGACAAAAACTGAGGCTTCTTCAACTCCAGGATTTCATCTTCAACTTTTAACTTTCAAACATCAAAGGGTAAGTTTTAAAAATCTAAAAGTCATTTATGGTGGAGGGAGGGTCATGGATTTTCCTCCAGTCACTCAGAGAGGGTCAAGGAAAAATATCTGGAGCATCAGGGAGGGTAAAAAACAACAACACAGTCACACTCAAAAAAAAAAACCCCCCCCCCCCCCCCCCCCCCCCCCCCCCAATAAGTAAAGAACAGTCCCTAATGAATAATGAATTATTTACTGCTGCTGTGTAGTTTCAGTGTAGAGAAACATTGGAGTTACAGAATCCTTCCTAAAGGTGTTTTCTGTTTGTTGATCAGTGTTTGTGATGCATGAAATGTTGAAATGTTTTTAAGTTGTTAATAATTTAATATATTTTGGTCCAGATGCTCTGCAGCTGTTTTCCAGAGGATACGTGGTGACATGGTGCATCGGTCGGGTTTTTCTTACGTCTTAAAGAGCTTGAAGGTCCAGTGTGTCAAGTTTAGGGGGATTTCGTCGTATCTAGTGGAGAGAATTGTAGATTGTTACCAGCTGGAACTTCTCCTGGTTGTTCAGGAGGTTTGTACCAGGAGCTGAGTTATCCACAGAGATCTCTTTCTTTACCAAACAAACAGACCAGCTGATTTAAACCAGTAAAAACACTGAATGAAGCAGTTTCACATTAAAAAAATTGATGCTTCTCCAATGCTGCTTTTTTTTCACATCTCCCGTCCATTCCAATAAACATAACTTTTCTAGGATGTGTAGCTCTACGATCACTGTCATCTGACTCCACACAAATGCACAGACTTATTGACTAAATGTCTATAAGCCAATCACAGTGCGCCACATCATCTAAAATGGACTGAAGTAGAGCCACGCCCCCTTTTTTAACAAGCATGGCGGACCGTGAGGCCAGGAGGAAACAGAAGGCTTGTTTCAGTCTGTTAATCAAACTGGTGAAGTACATCATTT